CTTAGTTTATCAGGTTTGCGGTTTGTGGTAACTTACTAGGTGAAGTACTATTACTGTCGGTTTCACTAGGTACTGCCAGTTTTGATATCTTAACTTCAAGCCCCCTAATAATGGAAAATAATTCTTCGATTTTATCTTCACAGCAAGATGTAGAACAAAGAACTGGATTAGTGCTAGGAGTCAAAATGTTTGCCGTGTAATTCATATCGCAGGACGTTTTGCAGGTGTCTACGATGCCTGGATCATCGCATGTAGTATCACTATGTATACCATCCATGATGTTGTTTAATACGCAAGCAGGTAAGGCGAGTTCAACGTCCGGACTTAACGTATCTACTGCAGCAGACCTGTGTTTAGTTGTTAAATCACTGGATGTAGTCTTCACACTTCCTGCAGGCCTATTCATTCGATTCGGTTTGTGTTTTTTACTGGGATTTGAAGCAGACAGTGGAGTTTGACGCTTAGTTTCAACCATTGGCATTTAGAAAAGAGTTAAACTTCTTAAATATAAGAGAATGAGCAAAGTGTCTGTAAGGTCCTTTTTAGGGTGTTGGAGATTTAGATTGTTTAGTTCGGTACGCAATTAGCAGTTTATGTGGATAAAAATATTGAAATAGAGTATGAAGACACGCTTAACAAATACTATAAATGCGAAGATGCGATAGCTGAAGCACTTCAGTAGACACTAGCTATAATGGACAATTACAGCCGGAAAAGTTATCTTTAATGAAAAAATAGGACTAAATATTTAGTACTCTCCTCGAGGGACCTATTGAAAAGACACCTATAGAGTAAAAAAGAACTGAGGAGTAACACGCGAAAAAGTAACAAAGCCTTCGAATTGCAGCGGATATTGTGCACTATGGAGTTCTGTTTAGATGAGTCTTTGGACGACTCTGCTCGACAAACTGTCTCCAACGTTCTCCAATTCTTTAGCACTTTCCGAGTCAGTATAGGTTGGTTCAGTCTTCAAATTGAAGAGCTTTAGAAAAGTGGGATCCCCCAGTTCGGTGACTGAACTATAACAGACCAAAACGAAGCTACTCCTATTGACCAATCAGATTCGTAAGAAGTAGAAGTGCACAGTCTGAAACAAAAGTCTGTATACAAGTAATGCAATGTTTAAAAATGGCTAAACAGGATAATGTTCTTGTACACGTTCCAAAAAAGCCTCCCCATTTCTCCCAGGAGTCCTCATAGTCAGGCTTAACCAGTTTCTGTGCCTAAGTTCATTAAGGTCAGCGATCCGTTCATTAGATGGGTTGGTTTCGGGTGGATACAGTTAAGAGTCACTGCTTTTTAGAGTTTTGGCCCGTTATTATCAGTAATGATATGGTAGAATGCAATAAATGAATATCAGCGAAAACACGTGCAATGCTGTCAACAACCACGAACGTACCGCCTTTATATATGTTCATCATGTCACTACACCTGAGAAGTTTCTTAGCGTGAAATTTCCCCAAAGCGATTATATCCCAACATTTTCTCAGGCACAGACTAATACTAGCCAAGTATTATATAACGACAGTGATGCTGACACTGAAATGGTGGACATAGATGAGTCAACGGAACATAATGTTGAAATACATCGTTTTCACACTGACACAAACGTCAAGAGCCCGAAACCATCAAAACCCATCCCACTGGTGTTCCACCCATCCCCTTTTAGGTCAGTTACTCCTCAGTCTGACAATCCATCCACTGTGAAGCACCAGTCGAACGTAGCTACCCAAGTTAGCAAGTTTTCTAGGCGTTATGACAAACGTCCCATTTCCATTAAGAAAACTTAAGCGCATGAGGTGTCCAAGCAAC